TAAAGTGACCAATCTACTCATAGCTAACGTATAAGTTCGATGTCTGAGGGGTCAAATCCAATACAAATTACATAGGTAGAAGATTCTTTTTTAATAAACAAAGATAAATGATCAGTTTTATAACAAACGACAAACCTGAGAAAATAAATTCATAATTTACTCTAAATAAAGTCATACTTGGTATTAAAAAGGTTACATTTAATTAATTTTTAGAGACAAAAACCATAAATAAATCATCATAAGAATCTAATACATTATTTTAATAATGACTTTGTAATAAAATAACAACTCAGTTTTAATGATAAAAGAATCATTCTCATTGATACTGATCACATAAAAAACAAACCACCTAAACATCACTCCTTGTATATATACAAGAATTCTCTCAAACTGTATTGTGTTTCAAGCTATGGAATTATTCATTATTTTTACGGTACTGCTGTTATTTCTTTCTGTTTTCTTTCTTGTTCGAGGAAAGAAGTATTCAGATAAAATCCCACCTGGTTCTCTAGGACTACCTTTAATAGGGCAAAGTCTCGGCCTCTTAAACGCCTTGAAAGCCAACGCGGTGGAGGAGTGGTTTCAAAAAGGAATAACCAAGCACGGTCCCATTTGGAAAACTGGTCTTTTTGGATACCCAACTGTTGTTTTACATGGTACAGCTGCAAATAAGTTTGTATACACTTGCGACGGGAGTGTACTCAGTAACACACAGCCACCATCGATCAGCAGGATTGTTGGTTCGAAGAATATAACTGAGTTGGTCAACGATGATCATAAACGAGTCAGAGCAGCGTTGGTTTCGTTTCTAAGGCTTGAAGTGTTGAAGCAATATGTTGCGAAAGTAGATGACGAAATCCAATACCACCTTCACACGCATTGGACTGGTAAACATGAGGTCCAGGTACACAATATTTTCTCCGCCCTAAATTAAATATAGAATCAATTTCAACATATAATTTAATAATTAAGTACTTTGACATTTTTTTTAACAACGATGTAGGTGCAAACCCTCGTCAAGACCTTAACCTTCAATGTAATCTGTTCACTTCTCTTCGGGATCGAAAGAGGACCCAAAAGAGAGAAACTGCTACCACTTTTCCAAGATATGATAGAAGGGATGCTAGCGATTCCGATCAATTTACCCTTCACCCAATTCAATCGCGGAATTCAGCAAGAAAGAAGCTGGTACCGATGCTGATGGACCTTGTACAAGAAAAAAGGGAGGCACTTGAAGAACAAAAACGAGCTGATCCTCATAAAGATCTCATCACTTCACTGCTTAGCATTCGTGATGACGACAACTTACCAATGATGTCTGATGAAGAGATAATCGACAACGTCATTGTCGTGATGGTTGCAGGATATGACACAACCTCTGTCTTACTGACGTTCTTGGTCAGACTTTTGGCAACCAATGAATCTATCTACTCTGCTATAGCTCGAGGTATGATATCTTTATCTCCATTTTTTGAAAAGAATCTTTATCTCCGTTTTATTGCAACCACATAACTATAATATATATGGAATCGTAAAATTTTACAACACAGATACAAAATGATTATCGTGATATGAAATAGAATAACGATTCATTATTTTATTAGCATTTAATATAATAAAAACTAATCATAGTTACAAAATACCGTACAAAAAAACTAAGGGGCCGTTTATCAAACGCTTACTAGGGTAAGCGAACACCAAGTCACATTACCTTGCCGGATGAATATGGTAAGGATCAAGAATCTTACCCAGTAAGAGCCAAACAAGGACCAAGAGTCTTACCCGGTAAGTAAGCACAACGAATCTTACCACGGTAAGCGCTTTCCGGATAAATTGTTGCATAAAATACCGTTTTGGTGGATTAAAATCTTATCTGATAAGTAAATAGTAGTGTTAAATTTTATCGATAAGCGCTTATCGGGTAAGTGTTTGGTAAACGGCCCCTGAGAAATTAGACAAACTTGAAGAATTTGAGATTGCAGAACAAGAAGAAATTGCCAAAAACAAGACAATGGGAGAAGCTTTGACATGGGAAGACCTTGCGAAGATGAAGTACACATGGAGAGTAGCATCCGAGATGCTGAGGATAAACCCTCCCGTGATTTTATCCTTTCGGCGAACCGTGCAAGACATCGAGTATGGAGGGTACATAATTCCAAAAGGATGGCAAGTACGTCAAATAAACTATCAAAAAAATATTTCACTGAAAATGCGATTGAAAAAACTGTTTAGTTGAATTTGCATATTGTGTTTGTTTTTCAGGTGTTATTGTCAGCGTCTATGACTCACATGGACAGTAACATTTTTCAGAACCCGACCATGTTCAACCCAACCCGTTTTGAGAAAAATGCACCGTCACCACCACCTTTTGGTTTCGTGGCGTTTGGAGGAGGGCCAAGGATGTGTCCTGGTATCGAGCTTGCGAAAATGGAAACGTTGGCCATGATGCATCGTTTGGTGACGCAATTCACATGGGTTCTTATTAACAAGGACGAACCCTTCAAAAGAATCCCAATGCCAGAATTCAACAAAGGATTGTCAGTTCAGATCATGCCCATAAAAGCATCATCAATGCCATCTGAAACAACAATGTAGGCAAGATCTGGTTCAATAACGTTGTTAAGACAAATTATATTTGTTCAAAGCAGATACATTTTATGCACACTCACATATCTACCTCAAGGTGTTCTTATTCGATCATAAATTATGATATTTGTTAGCCATTAAGTCAGCAATGCCAAAATCGAGCACTAGAATCACACTCACTTAATGTGAGGACTTAGTAGACCCGATTAGACCATATGTCATTTGTGGTATGTTTTTTTTTATGAACAAAAACAGATTGTACTTTTGTTGAATACAGGAGTGTTTGAAATTTAGAATATAAAGCAGAATCAAATAACATCTATCACTGGCTACATTTTAAATCTTTTATTATAACGAGAAACCGATAGAAATTATAAAATGACAATAATGCCCTTTAAGAAACCCATTTTTCACTTGTTATGAAATCGTAATGTCTTTAAATGAAATGAAGTTTGAGTATTTCCGACTCCAATAGGTTTTTAAATATAAAGTACATTAATATTTTGTTCTACTGGATTTTCTGTATTATTTCTAAAATACTGAAAACTCCAATTTTTGATGATCATCTAAATTTTAAGATTCAAGGAAATAATTTTTTTTTATTTTTTCAACAAATGAAGTTAAATTATTATTATTTTATATAAAGTATATATATATATATATATATATATATATATATATATATATATATATTCAAACTGTATTTGAGATGATAAAATTATATAATATTTTCATAATACAGTAATTGATGAAATCTCTAAAATAAATAATCTGTTAGCAGTAAAATGTAATTTATTTCAAAAAATTTAAATTTGAACTTTTTATTAAAAAAAAGTATAAAGACCACATGAGAAGTTGGTTATTCCATCTCATGGACGTTAAGAAGTGTTATCGGATACCAAAGGGCCTTCGGCCTAGCGGTATCGTAGTCTTTGGCCTCCTATGAGGTCATGGGTTCAAACCTCACCAACGGTGAGGAGGGTGTGTGAGTTTATTTGTTGCATTTGTCGTATATAAATATTATATACTTCAAAAAAAAAAGTGTTATCGGAATTGTCACTATAACTTTTATTTGTACACGATTCATCCTCTCTCTCTCTCTCTTTATATATATATATATATATATATATATATATATATATATATATATATATATATATCTTAGTTTCATACATTGCATGCATACCGAATCTACGACATATAACAACATTTAATTGAAGTACAAAACTAGACAAAAAGTAAAGAAAAATGTGTTTCAATGACCGAAAAAGATATATAACGAGATCAAAGGGTTTTTGTTCTAGCGGTTTCGTAGCCTTTGGTTTCGAAGAAAGTCAGGGGTTTAAACCTCACCAAATGTGAGGAGGGTGTATGAGTTTATTTGTTGCATTTGCCGTATAACACCTTCCTACTGCAAGGCTTTGCTCTGCCCTTCCACTAGAATCCACTTTTTGACGATTGGATCTCTCTATGAATGGAAAAGGGGTGCTTCAGATCCTTTCTTTCGACACCAACATTTGGATACCTGAAACTCTTCCTGCAACATGTTGGCCTTTCTATGGGAGTTGAGTAAAACTGTTCGAATGAGTTAACAGTTTTTTGTACAAACAGATAAAAACATATATAAAAAAAATACAATAATGATCATATCTACTAAAAATCATCGTACATTCAAAGGGAAACAAACAAGAAATATTAATATTAACGTTTATTTATATCTGTATATATATATATATATATATATAATATGTCGATGAAACCAAAGCTCATAATTTTAAAACATAAAATAAATCATAAATAATCAAATTGTATTTTATTATTTAAAAAAATAACTATTTTATAAATATTTTTAGTTTTCAAATAAATAAATTTGAAACAAGAACCATAAGTTTATAAATTATCACAAGAATCTTTAAACGATGGTATCCGAAAGTATTAGTCAACTCGCATATCAGGTTGGATATCTAAGTTAACAAAAAAAAAACATTTTTAACAGTTATATTTATTTAAAGGTTTTCAAGATTTGAGATAAATTTGCTTCAATAAGTTATGCTATAGTTTTCAGATAAAATAGAGAAAAATAATAATGAAAAAATTAAAGAAATCCCTA